GGTCCTTGCAGTTTCTAGTTAGATTTACTCCCCTAGTATTACGTCTTGTGGTTGGCTACTATAAATGGTACTGCCTTCTTAGTTTCCTTTACCGTGTTTTCTCTGCTGTTGTATAGAAATCCCACTGACACTTGTACACTGATCTTGACACTTTGCTAAACTGATCAAAAGTCCAACAGTATTTTCTGTTTAGTTTTTGGTGGTTTATTTGTATATCATATTATATTTTATCATATTATCTGCACAGAGTGGCAGTTTTACCACCTCTCTGCCAATCTGGATGCTTCTTATTTCCTTTGCTTGTTGTATTGCCCTTCCAAAACAATACTGAATGTTGTTAGGTGCCATCAAGTTGAGTACAACTCACAACTACCTTATTAACAGCCAACTTGAACCTTGCCCTATTTTGTGCCATCCTCATCAAGCCCATTGCTGAAATCATGTCAATCCATCTTATTGGGTCTTTCTTTCCTTCGCTGACCCCCTATTTCTCCAAGCATGATTTCCCTCTCTCAAGAAGCTACCTGTCCAAAGTATAAAAGACAAAGCTTCACCACTTCTTCAGCCAAGTAGTACGCTGGCTGCATCCTCTCCAAGACATATCCATTCTCTTGGCAGTCCATGGTATATTCAGTACTATTCTCTAGTACCATAATCCAAAAGCATCAATTCTTCTGTCATCTTTTTTCACCGTCCAGCTCTCTGAGGCATAGCCAGCCAGAGATTGAGAAGATCAAGGCCTGAATTAGGCACACCTTAGTCTTCAAACTGACATCATTCTACTTCAGCTCTGTGGACAGCTCTCTTGATAGTGGACTTGACCAATACAATATATGTCTCCTGACTTCCTGAGTGCTGACACCATATGTGTTGATTGCTGATTCCAAGATAAAACTGTTGACAGCTTCAATTATTTCTACATCTATCATAATGTTGCCAGTCTTCTGGTGAGGACTTTTGTTTTCTTGATGTTGAGATGCTTTCCATAACAAAAACTACAGTCTATGATCTTTTCACAAGTGCCTCCAGTCCTCCTCACTTTCAGTATGGTTGTATCATCTGCATAACAAAGGTTACCTATGAGTTTTCCTTTGATTCTGATGCCACATTCTTCCTCAGAGTCTGGCTTCTAGAATTATTTGCTCTAAATACAGATTAAATAGGTATGGATACAACCCTGATGCACACTCTTCACGATTTTAAAGCATACAGTGTTCCCTTGCTCTAAGTATAGGTTTCACATAAGCAAAGTTAAGGGTTCTGGGATTCCCAATCTTCTCAATGTCACCCATAATTTGTTATGACCCATAAAGTCCAATGCCTTTGCATAGTCAATTAAGCACAAATAGACATTCTTCTGGTATTCTTTACTTTTAGCCAGTATCCATCTGACATTAACAATGCTATCCCTCGTGCCAATGCCTCTTCTAAAATACTGCCTGGATTTCTGGAAATTTCCTATCTGTATCCTGTTCTAGCCATTTTTTAATAATCTTAAGTAGTATTTTGCCTGCATATAATACTAATAATATTGTTCAATAATTTCCACATTCTTTTGGATCATCTTTCTTGGGGACAGAAACAAACAGGGATATCTTCCAGTCAGCTGGCCAAAACTTTCTGGCATAAACTGAGTGTTGAAAGTGGGTATCATGTCTAGTTCCTGTTTGCGAGTGAAATGTCTTTAGTCTTTCTCCACTGCAAATGATGCTGGATTTTGGTTTGGAGTTGTTTTTGTTTTAGATTTTTAATGTAAGTTTATAGAGGACATGGATTTCCATTCATTCACTGTTGCACATTTTCCTCCCTGCCCACTCTTCCTCACCAGTTCACTTTTCTCTTTGGAAAAAAAATAAAATAAAATTCTTTCACTGTTATACAAGTCCCCCTCCCAAGTCCAGCTCTTACTCTGGACTACTATCATGCAAACATCTCATCATATATTCTGTTTAAGCAGTGCTCTCCCTCATTTGTTCTAATGCAGTGAACATTATTTATCCTCTCTTTTCTTAGTTTTCCCCCAACCCGATGTCAGTCCTGTTTTATAACAGTGGCATTATGCAGTATTTGTCCTCGTGACAGATATTTCACTCAGCATAATATCCTCCAGGGTCATCCATTTTGTATATTTCATGAGTTCCTTGTTTTTTTAATGCTGCATAGCATTCCACTGTGTGACTACACCACAGCATCTCTTGTTTGTTGGGTTGTTTGCATCTCTTTGCTAATTGTGAATAATGCAACAATAAAAATGGGTGTGCACTGGATTTTTATTTTGCAGATCTACTTTTCACTATGTGGAAGAAATTAACTTCTATTCCTATTTTCTAGAGTGTTCTAATCAGGAAAGGCTGTTTGGGTTTTGTCAAAGGCCTTTTCTATAATCCCCTATGTACATCAAAAATTTACCAACAGAAAAATCCTACCTGTAGTTTAGTGGGTAAGGTGTTGAGTTGTACTGTCAACCCAGAACCTTACCAATAGGGTGAAAAGAAACCCTACAAACTGGGTAAAAAACATTTGGCAATGACATTTCAGACAAGGGTCTCATAACAAAAATTGATAGAACACTACAGGGCTTCCACAAGAAAAAGCTGATAACCCAGTAACAAAAAGAGTAAAAGACATGAAAAGACTTTTCACAAAGGAAAACAGCATAAGACACATGAAGAAATGATCAAAATCACTGGCAATTAGTGAGATGCAAATCACAACAATGAGATACCATTTCATTCCAGTAATAGTAGCAGCAAAGTTTAACAGAACATCAAGCAATAAATGTTGGAGAGGATGTAGCAAGGTTGGAACTTTCATACACTGCTGATGGGAATGTAAAATGGTACAATTACTCTAAAAGGCAGTTTGGCATTTCCTCAAAAAGCTGAAAACAGAAATCCCCTATGACCCAGCTACTGGACTGCTAAGGAACATACTCCAAGCAAATGAGAACTGAGACACAACTAGAGAGATGTATGTCTATATTCATAGCTGGAAACATGAGTGACATCCACTTCCTAAAAAACATGTCTCTGGAAACTCTATGAACTTTGATAGATGTCGATGGTTGTAGAGGGGCTTTAGGCCTTTTATTCATGGGGTCATCACTATGAGTCGTGCTTGAATCGAAGGCAAGAAAACAACAGCAACATTCATAGCAGCGCTATTCACAATAGCCAAGAATATGGAAACAGTTCAAATGCTCATCAACAAACAACTAAAACTGTGGTAGAGTCACACAGTAGACTATTATGCAGCACTAAGCAGAAGCAATTTTGTAAAATATCATGTAACATAGGAGAGGTCTGCTGAGTGAACTCAGGCTCACACAAATACTACGTAAGATCATTAATTGTAAAAACAGAAAGATAACTAATTAGTAAGATGTGTATAAATCCAAAAGGAGAAGGGGAAAAGAGGACAGGGTCGGAAAAAGGGGAACTGTGGAAATCACTAGGATAACAGAGTTCTGTGGGTGGGCTGGGGAGAAGAGAAAATGGGAAAGATTCAATGGGGACTTGAAAGGATCGTGTTAGTAATAGGCATAGGTCAGTGGTAACATTATATGGGATGCAGTGTATATGAATGATTGTATGAAAAACAATATGAGGGATTGTATATGAAACACAACATGAAGCAAGGTAAATTAATTATTGTATGAACATCAATGAATTTTAAAATCCTAGGTGTTTCAATAAATAGTTAAAGAATGTCAAATAAAAGGTACCATCAATATTCTAGTAATTAAGTCATGAAGAGTATCTTTTATCCTTTTTCAAAATGAAAAATTACAGACCAGGGGAGCTCTGGTGGCCTAGTGGCAAGAAGCTACAACTACAATCCCAGAGGTGCGTGGTTCGAATCCACCAGATGCTCTGCCGGGGAAGGAGGGGCAATCTCCTCCTGTACCAGTCAGATCTGATTTGACGGTACACGCCCACAAAAAATAAAA